GTATCTTTCTTGACTTTTCACACTAACACTGAGATATGAAAGAACACTTGCAGGAGCAAATGTCAAAGAGTTTTTTGGATTCATTTTTAAACTGAGATATTTTCTCTCGGTATGGTCCGGAGTCTTTTCTAGACTTATATGGCTTTAGCAAATTCATGAATGTCTTGTGGTACTTGTTCAACATTTCTTGGACACGGCGGTGGCTTACATGTGGTATAGAAGCTTTGTCCCATATTTGTTCCACTTTTGTTGTCACTATTTCTGCCACATTGTGATGTGGTGGATCTTTATTGTTCAATTCATATTTAAGTTTCTGTTTTGTCAGATTGTAAAACTTCATAACATCTGCATAAGTAGGTAGTTGATTGTCAGGCATTTCAGAGGGAGCATCAAAAATGACACAAGATACTTTTTTCCTGGTTACAGCCATTAAATATGAATTGTTATTATAAATGAATTAAAGTATTATCTTATATGAATAAAATGTTTTGCAATAAACGCTGTTTGTTTACTCTAGACAGGAAAAACGCATGTGAATACATATAAAAGTGAACTACAATAAAAAAATACCGGATAGTAAATGCTTATAAATGGTTAAATTTTGAAGTTGGTTGTGGAACCTCAAGACGTTACCTAAATTAATTTTTTTTTTACGGAGTAATTGATTGTATCACAGAGCAAGTTTTAATAACTATCCAAAGTCAAGCAAATCAAAAAAAAAAATTTTTCACGTTTTCACTCCACCCTAATATATATATATATATATATATATATATATATATATATATATATATATATATATATATATATATATATATATATATATATATATATATATATATATATATATATATATATATATATATATATATATATATATATGTATATATATGTATATATATATATATATATATATATATATATATATATATATATATATATATATATATATATATATATATTAATATACAGTGACAAACCCAGAGTTTATTTTTGGCAATGTTGGCGGGAGGGCGGAAGTTTTTGAGGTTATTGTCTCCTCCCCCCCCCCATCCCTCCTACCCTATACTTCCCCCATTGTTTAAAATCAATTATTTTCAATCATCATTTTTTGATCATCATTTTAATCATTTATGTTTATCTTGTTTAGTTTTTTCCGAAGATAAAGAGAGGCATTTCTTTGAATAGATAAATTTACAGGTGAATGTAACCTGTAAATTTATCTATTCACTATGTTACTTTAATTAGGAAAAGAAAATAAGAAAACTATTTTACTTAAGAATTTAACCTCACTATTTGTAAATAACTATTGAAAATTGTTTAAAGTATTTTAAAAATATATTAACTATATTTTAGTAAATTTAATTTTAGTAGTTCTTAATGTTTTAAATTATTAGTAATTAAATGTTTAAATACTTTAAACAATTGTAAATCAATATTTACATATTACATAATATATTTACATATATTAAAACGCGTAATATTTGTAAAACTAACAAAATAGTTTTACATAAAATTAACAAATTAGTTTAGATAAACATTTAACAAACGTGTTGTTTACTATTATTTTAATTTTAAAATTCTTATTTAAATATTAGCAATTCTATTCTTTTAACTAAACGTTAATAATTTTTAAAGTGGTTTTAACACGCCTTTTAAATTAAAGAAAATTAAAGAATAATTATGTTGAACGTAATTTAAAAAATGATATATTTTTTTGATTAAAAAACATATTATTTTAAAAAATATATTTTATTTTTTTATTTATTAAGTATAATTTAAAAAAATTACATTTAATAAATAAGTTACTATAGATTTTTTTAAACGTTAAAGACATTGAAGTTTAAAAATAACTAGATATTAATTAAAGTTTTATTAAGTTATTGTAATCGTTATATTTATTATTAGTCAAAAAGAATATGGAAAAAAACTTTCTGAAAAAGTTTCTGTTTTGTTTTTTCATTTTCCTCGTGTAAACTAAAATAGAAAGCTAAATATTAAAAGTTCATTCATTTAAGAATTGAATTTGCGTGAATACGCAAAAAGTTAAGTTTGCGCTATTGTTATTAAAACTGAAACTTTTTACTTTTATTCATTTATTATCAAAAGCAGTTCACTCTTATTTGCCAACAAACTTTTTATACATTCCATTGTTATAAAATTAAGTTTTTAAAATTAAGTTTTGTAATGACATTTATTTTTTAAAACATTCAGTTTGTAACCGAAGGATAGCTGCATCACATAATTAAGTGAAAAAAGAAATTATTTTTTAATTCATTTTATCGTCCTAAAGAAAAAATGATATAGCTAAAATAAATTGAAAATTATTTATATACTACTGCATTTAAAACCGAAAATATATTTTTAATAAAAAAAGCAAAAGAAAAATTAAAAGATTTTTGGGTGCTTTTTTTATTGGGCGCTCTCACCACTCCTGTGGCACTAAAATAGTTCTGGGTTCGTCCCTGATAAATATATAGATAGATAACACAGGTCTGCAAGTTAAAACTTTTTTTTTCTTTTTTTTTTTTTTGAATGGGTGAATTATATGTATTTTGGTATGCTGATTTCAATAATACCATCCATTTCTACCCATCACGTAAGGATTTTCGGCTATGTCGAAAATAAAATATGGGCAAAACCCGCCTTACACTACTATTATTATGACAAAAATCATAAGAGAAAAAATATCGTAAAATTATACAAATTTAATTAATTTTAAATCATAAAATAATTTGTTTACAGTATATACAACTATAAAGCTTTATAAAATCTAGTTTTTTTAGTTTCGAAGTTTTGTTTAGTGCTTTTTCTTTTGTGGGACGTTACGTTTCCCTATGCAGCATCCAGCAGTAGTCGCCCATCATATTTGTATCCAATCAACCTTGATACCTTCTTTCTATTTCTTTTATATCTTGGTAAAACCTTCACTAATTACACCAAGATTTTCCGGGAAATAATCCAAATGGGAGTTCAAAAAATGGAGTTTTAAACTCATTGAACATCCTAGATTTTTAAAATTGCACAACATATTTTCTACAATATTTTTAAAGTCTTTTTGATTCCCTAGAAACTTAGTAACTATGTCTTTAAAAGAATTCCATGCTGACCTCTTAACATAGTTCATCACATTTTTGAAGTTGTTATCTTTCATTAGCTTACGAATGTCAGGACCAACAAAAACTCCCTCCTTCAGCTTTGCTTCAGGCAGACCAGGAAACTTGCTTTAAAGGTATTTAAATGTCTCACCATCTTTTAGCAATGCCTTCACAAACTGCTTCATCATGCTAAGTTTGATATGGAGTGGTGGTTAAAGGACCTTTTTAGGATCAACCAAAGATTCAAAGTGCACGTTTTTCTCTCCGATCTTCAATGTTCTTTTTGGCCACACTTTCTGGTTCCAGTGCTTAGTTTTGGCACGACTACCTCATTCACAAAGAAAACAGGGAAATTTTGTGTAACCACCTTGCTGTCCAAGTATCATAGAAATTACTTTAAGATCCCCACAAACTGTCTACTCAAATTCTTTGTACTTTAATTTATCCAAGATCAATGCCAAGCTACAATAAGTTTCCTTCAAATGCACTGAGTGACCAACGGGTATTGATGCAAACTTATTCTCGTTGTGAAGTAAAACAGCTTTTATACTTCTTTTCGAAGAATCGATAAACAGTTTTCAATTTTCAGCTATATGTTGAACTTTGAACATGGACATTAACCCATTGATATCGGAACAATAGACCAGCTACCATATTGAGAAAAATAAGGCTCAAAATATTTTTCTCTATTTCTATACCAAGCAAAAGAAGTTCCAGGTGTCAATGAATTTTCCTCTTGCAGTCTAGATCCTAGTAACTTAGCAAATTGTTTTGAGAGTCCTAAATCTCGGATCAGGTCATCTAATTCAGCTTGAGAAAATTCTTGAGGACTACTGGAGTCGCCTACTTGAAACTCGTCACTAGAACTTTCTTCTGATTCACTTTATAATTCGTCTAGGCTTTGGGGTGCTTGTGGTATAGGAATGCCAGGTCCGTGAGGGACTGGGCGGAGTGCCGATTCATGTTTGGATAAAAAAATTGTTTTTTATTTTTGGACTAGTAGTAGTCATCGCTGTGGTTTCGAGTCATCGCTGTGGTTTTTATATTCACAAATATAGCAAAAACTCTCAGAAGAATTTACACAACCTCTTGAAGTCATTTTTGAAATGCATGTTACGAAAGTTGGAACAGTAATAAATAAATGAAAGGGAAATTCCTTAGAAATTTTTGCATTTGTATATATCGGGATTTTCCATACTTTCTATGGAAAATCTCGATATATATATGATTCAATGCTGACTAATATTATCTTCATGAGTTACTAAATGTTTTTTTTTAAGCCTACGAAACATAAAATTATCTTATAATAAGTTAATAAATAAAATGATAAATATTTTGGCAATAAACCCCGTTTTGCACCCTAAAATAGGCGATCCCACAGCATTTTGCGTTTTTTAGAAAAACCTTTTATTATGGAATTTTTTTGATAACTTTTTGGAATTCGACCAAAAGTACAAAAGAATTAACTCTTTAATCTTAAAAAAAAAATGTTGCAGATCTGTGTGTAATCAGCTTAAAAATGTTGCAGACCTGTGTGTAATCAGCTTAAAAATGTTGCAGACCTGTGTAATCAGCTTTAAAAATGTTGCAGACCTGTGTAATCAGCTTTAAAAATGTTGCAGACCTGTGAAATCAGCTTTAAAATGTTGCAGACCTGTGTAATCAGCTTTAAAAATGTTGCAGACCTGTGTAATCAGCTTAAAAATGTTGCAGACCTGTGTAATCAGCTTAAAAATCACAAATACGCAGTAGCTTCGAAAACAACTTTAGTGCAACACGTTTAAGGACACAGTGGAATACTTAGAAAGTTATCTTATTAGGCCACATATAAATGCATAATTTTTTCATTAATTTTTTTTATTTATTTTTACATCATATATTTTGTTCTTTTTTTATTTGCAGATGATACAAATCAAGAACTTAATTTGGAAACACCTACTTGGCTTGAAGTTGTTAATTTTGTTGATGGTCGTGTTCCCTCAGTCATCAAGCGTTTTCCTTCTTATTACTTTGACTATGATCGTATTGTTGTTTGTAAATTCTCATTTCTCTATGGAAATCAATTAATTTATGCTTATGAAGAAGTTGAAATAGTCATGCCTATTAAAAATGCCAATATTATTGCTTCCCCTCAGTCTGGACTTGCATATGAAGATAAATTTAGGTTTCGTGTATTTGGCTGGCATCAATCAAATGTTTATTTGTTTAGGTTTGGGTTTTATGTTAAGTATAATACAGATAAAGAAAGTGATAAAGTTTACAAATCGATGTGGTCTGCTCAAAATTGGATTGAAAATGTTCAGTTTTTTATAGAGAAAGGAAATGGACCAGGGAATAAGTTGAAAATCTTTTGTGAAATTATAGATAATCAAGGTTTTATTACAACAATCACTACAGATATCATAATAATTCCTTTTATTGCTGAAAACAGAGTGAAAATTTCAAAAAAGGTTTATATTTAATAATTTCTTAAAAATTAATTTAAAAATATATTTCAAATTTTCAAAAAAATATTTTGCTTACAATATTATTATTGCCTTTAAATTTTTTTAATGACTAATACAAGTTTTTTTGAAAAATTTATGTTTACTATAAATTAAAATCTTATGTTTTTGTTAAATAAATCTTTTTTTTTTTAATTTTACGTTTAGGTTAATCCAAAAAAAAATTTTATTCATACTTTTTTGTAAGCTATATCAACTACAACCAAAACAAAATGATCCTGTTTTTTTCTTCTTATTTCACATTTTATTTCATTTTTTTTTTTTTTTTAAACACTAATAGTTATGAAAATTAATTATAAATGAATATATAAAATAATTATGAAAATGAATCATTTTAAATATATAAATAATTATGAAAATGAACTATTATAAATAATTATGAAAAACAAAATTCTTATTTGGTGTGAAGTTTTAGCTGTTTCTATCAGTTTTTGATAAAACTTTTTTTTGTTTGTTTGTTTGTTTTTTCTATAATTTCTACTTTTGATTTTAGGCTTTTGATTTTGCTTACTATTTACAAACTGACCAATTGCAATGTGCAGAATATTTACTTGATATTATACCTCTTGCTAATTTAAGTAACCTACTAGGTAGTGATCCACAAAGAATTCAGACAAATCTTGTACTGTATCTTGCAAAGTTTAGAAAACAAGGTCAGTTTATGATGTTGATGATGATGATGATGATGATGATGATGATGATGATGATGATGATGATGATGATGATGATGATGATGATGATGATGATGATGATGATGATGATGATGATGATGTTGATATTTATATTTTGATGATGATTATTATATTTTATATATATATATATATATATATATATATATATATATATATATATATATATATATATATATATATACATATGTATATATGCATATGTATACATATATATATATATATATATATATATATATATATATATATGTATATATATATATATATGTATGTATATATATATATGTATATTTTTATATTTATTTCGTCTCTCATTTTCATGCAATATAGTAGAGAGAAAATAAGAACAAAAGACAATCATTTGTAATTAAACTTAAAATTAATTTGATACTTTGATCTATTTTAATTGCATGTATCGCTTTTACATATGTTTTTAAATAGTTTAAAAACATATGTACAAATATTGTCTTCTTTTATATTTATTTTTATTTTTCAATGAAAAAAAAAATGCTTTATATTGTTAAACTTTTATGAAAAAACTATTTTTAATGGTTTCCTTTTTAAAATAGCTGAAACAATTTTTTAAATAGCTGAAACAATTTTTTAATTGATGTAATTGTTGATAAAAATATTTTTATATGGAACAGAAAGTTTTTGAAACAATTACAAATAAATATAGTTATATAATAAAAAAATTTATACATAAAAGTATATGCATGCATTACATAGATGTTTTCATATAAGGACAATATATACTTGTTACATAAAAGTTATACAAATATATTTTGCAAAATATATTTTTCTGCTATTTCTTCTCGTACAGTCTCTGCAGTCATCCTAAAAAAAAATTTTTTTGAGAAACTTTCCTATATACATCGAAAAAAAAGAGTAAAATTTAACTGCCAATATAAAAAGATCAGTAAGAAATTACTTTATATTTAAAAATTATAAAAACATGAAATCTAATGTCAGTGGCATATCTCTACTTAGATCAAGTAGTTTGTACAGGAAAAAGTTGAAAAATTTGAAATGGGTATGTGACAAAATCCTTTGAATAATTTTCAAACCAAGTTTATCAGTTTTTAAATCACGCAGTTTTCCTATAAAGATGGCTGATCTGATCAATAATAGAAAAGTGCAGTTGTCAACATTGATAAGCTTCAACATTGGAAAACTTCATGAAAATAATCAATTTGATCAAACTATGCAAAACAGAGAAGTAGAAGTGGAATTCACTGTAGTTTAATTCATCCACTGTAGTTTAATTCATTCACTGTTGTTTAATTCATTCACTGTAGTTTAATTCATTTACTGTTGTTTAATTCATTGAAAAGTTAAATTATAATTATTTTATCGATTCTTTAAAAAATAATTTTTTTTGCTATAACAAAAAAATGTTTTAGTTGCTATAGTTACTATACGTATTTATACATTTCCAGGGGAAATGAAAGTAGAATTTAAGGACTTTAATGCAAAAAATGGAAAGCATTTTGATCCTGAAATACTCAATCATTCCACTGGACAATAGTGACTAGAGTCGAACAAGAAATGACAGTCATACTGTGCTTATACCTTATGGGCTGGTTTAAAAAAACTAGTCTATATAAGGTTTTTTATAATAACTACATGTTTTTATAGAGTTTATTAACTAATTTTCTGATAAGCATTGGTTGTGTAGAAAGGCTGTTTTTAAAATTAAAATTTGTGAAATCTTCAGTTACCTTAATGCCTACTTGAAGCCTGTTGATGATAGTAATCGAAAATCCAGTAAAGGGTTCAAAAATAAGATTTTTGAATGTTTCTTGAACATTTCTTGAACGTTTCATTAAGGAGTTAAAAAAATTAACATCAGAGCTAAATTGAATATAGTTTAACTTTGATGTTAAATTTTTTGTTTGTTTGTTTAAATCTCAGTAGTTCTAATTAATTCATAAAAACAAAACAGTTTAATTAATTAGACATATTTTATCTTATATGAGAACTTATAAAATTATAAATGTAATTAGATATTTTTTAGTTGACTTTTTCAAAGGAAAGTTCAACAAAAAAAAAGTTTAACAAAACAAATAAAAACTATTAAACTTTAGAAACTAACATTTCCAACCTTCAAGAAAGTTTAAACAACACATTTAATCTAATTATTTCAGAACTGATAAAACTGACAAGGTTTAAGAATGACTTTTTTATGGTACATAAAAAAGTCATTCTAATCTAGAAGTAATTAAAATATTAAAAAAAAATATTAAAGCAGCAAAAAATTGTTTTGCAATTGCTGTAAATATGATGAAACAAAAAAAAAAATTAATGTTATTCACCTCCCAAAGCCAAGAAGTCACTACAGTTGAGGAGATTACTTTATTGTGGTTATAACCTTCTCTCAACTCTTAAAGTTTGAAACCTTGATGAAAAATGCCACTGCACAGAGAAACAAGTTGAGTGCGGTACTACAAGAGACAGATGAAGATCAAATCGGAACTTCTTACTTTTGAAGCAAGCACTTTACCACTACACTGCCACATTAAAAATTAAATTTGATAATCAGTGGATTCAAATGCAAATTGCCAGCATTCAATGATACTGAATCACCGAAACACTAGTACTGTTATTATTGTTAAATAGTATAAATTGGCAAGATTTATAGATTGTAATGTTCAAGAATAATACTCTTATCTTGTTTGCACATCTACACTGAGTAGCAATTTAGTAACAAAAGCAAACATAAACAACCCAGTTTTTTTTCAAAAACGTTCTTAACAACTAATCAGTTTTTTCAAAAAAATAATTGGATAAGTCATAACTTTTTTTATCCAAAACTAAGGTTTCAATTTCCAAACACTTAAAAGTGCTTGGTGGAAGCAACTAAATGGGTAATGATAAGTTTGGTCTTCCATTTTTCAACTTCCTGTTTTGGGACTGAAGCTTGTTGTATTCGTTATAGTCTACCAGTTCATATCAAATCAGCTATTTGAAAAATCTATGCAAATCACACAAAGCTCATAAAAGTTGTTGAAAACAATGAAGACAGAGCAAGTTTACAACCAGATCTAGGTAAGATGGTTAAATATATGTAATCTAACTAATAGAGATAACAGAGATAATAAAAAACTAATAGAGATAACAGTGAAAAACTAATAGAGATAACAGAGATGTCAGTAAAAAAACTAATAGAGTTAATAGAGATAAATGTAAACATGTTATGCATGTCAATTTGGATCAATAAAATATGACAACTTCATTTTCAAAATTCAAGAGAATGGCATGGTCAACAAAGTAGACTAGAAATCACTAGTACTAAAAGAGATTTTGAAATTTAACTTTCTGATGAACTCAAATACACCTAATAGTACAACAAAGTAGCAAAAAAAGTAAATGATGTGCTCAGAATTTTCAAACACATTTTTTTATCACGAGACCACCATTTGGAAAAGACTTATTCAACATACATCAGACTACATATGGAGTTTGTTATACAGGCTTGGAACCCTAACTTTGTTGGTGATATAAAGAAAATTAAAATGGTACAATACAACACCACACAAGTTTCTCAAGCTTTAAACAATAAAGGCTACAAGACTTGATGCAAAATGATCTTGAAGCAGACCTATGAGAGTCAACTATATACATCAGTATATAATAAGGTATTAAAAAAATATATATTTTACATATATTAGACCACCTCTACAATTCTCCATACAAGCTTGGAATCCTTACCTTGTTGGTGGCGTAAAAAAATTGAAAAAGTACAATACAATGACATGAAAATTCCTCAGGTTATAAAAAAAAAAAATTAAAGCAAAAATATGCTTCAAAGGGCTAGACCAAGCTGTCAAGCCCGAGTGAAATAAGGAAAATTTTAGAAAAAGAGAAAGGATAAAATAATTAAAAATATATATTGAACAGATGTTCAGAACAAAAACAAAGATACTATAGTAAAGCATGTAGTAAAAAATAATAATAATAATTTAGACATCGCGCATGTAAAAGAAATGTAATAAAAACAAAACAGGACACATAAGTAACCGTACAGTATAAAAAACCAATAAAAAGTATTTATTTCAGATTTACAGTAATTGTGTAGACAGGAATGCTTTGCCAGATAATGCTATTAAAGCAGTATCTATTGATAAATTTAAGCAACTACTGGACAATTATCAATTATCATAGTTACTACAGCTCATCTGGTTTTTTTTAATGTTTTTTAACAAAGGCTGAGAAGTCCACAAGGAGGCTAAACATCATCGCTATTTATGCTTTACCCTGCAATTTACGCCTACTCCATACTGCAGTAAAAAAGGACTTCACTACAAAATAGCCAAAATCCTAACCTCACCCAAATTTGTAAAGCACTAAATTGAAAAAGTACAAGACAATGACATGAAAATTCCTCAGGCACAAGGAGGCTATTAATTGTGGTTATAACCCTCTCTCAACTATGTACCTCCGAAACACAAACCTTGCTACACAAGGCTGCTGCATGGAAAAACAAGTTAAGCGTGGTACTACCAGGAACGTGGTGGAGATCATGCTCCTAACCTCATGCTTATGGAAAGAGCACTCTACCACTACCACAATTTACTGTATAACAAAAAATTTACTAGCATACAAGTTTGGTGTAGATTCATATACTCACCTGGTGATGGGTCTAATGAGACATATCAATAATAATAATAATAATAATAAAATTCAATAAATAATAAAATATTTATAAAAATAAATCAAATAATAATTAAGTAATTCAATTAACATCAATTAATATTAAAAATAATGATAAAATTCAATAAATAATAAAATAGTAATAAAAATAATAAATTTCAAATAATATTAAAAATAATTCAACTAATGCTTATAGCACATAAACAGGGTGGGGACTTACAAGAATTTAGATAGGGTGGGGACTTATAAGAATTTAGATAGGGTGGGGACTTACATAGACTTAGATGAAATTGCATAGGGTGAGGACTTGAGTAGACTTACATATAGTGAGGACTTAGACTTACATCAGGTGAGGACTTGCATAGACTTACATAGGGTGGTGACTTTCATAAACTTACATCAGGTGAGGACTTGCGTATACTTATATAGGAATAGGACTAACATAGACTTACATAGTAAGCACACTTATAAAAGAAACTTTTATCACTATCTAACTTAAGGCAAAAAAAATCAATATATTTAATAAAAATTAAGAGTAAAATATGAGAATTGATTTTTTCTGGTTATCAAAAATTTATAATATAGTTTTTATTTTTTTTATTTTATAACATTTTAAAATTATAATAAATAGTTTATTTGTTATAATTTTATAATAGTTTATTATAAAATTATAATAAATAGTTTATTTGTATGTAGTTTCTCGATTGAAAAACAAAATTTCTCGAAAGAGAAACAGTATAAAAAAAGAGAAATAAAATAGTTTAATCTTATTTCTTTAATGTAACAAGAAAGTTAAAGTTAAAAATGAATTTACTAAAATAATTTTTTATTTTAAGGATTTATTGCTCTGTTAGTAACAAAGGCAATGGATGTTATATATAAGTTTGTTTATGCAACAAAAGGAATTATGAACCAAGACACTTTGAAGAATATTACTTCAACACTGAATTATATATCAGTTAACATCTTAACTGTGCGTCAAGAGATAGATGCAATTAAAATGGTATTTGTATTTATTTTTACAATTTATTAATAAAAGTGAATATTAAATACAGCTGTGATTTTTATATTGCATAAAATTTTGCACATAATAGCAACAATTATTTTAATATAATTCAATAGTTTTTTGTATTTTATTTTTATATTTATTTTATTTATGTTTTATGTTTAGGCAAAACAGTTAATAGATATTTCAAATATTTTAGTAAACTCTTCTGGTAATTTAAAAGTTGTACTTTCAGAAACTCCTAGTATTATTAAAGGGTTTTTAAATGTAGCTGGAAGTAATTATGATAACCAACAAGAAAGTTTTCATGGAAGTTTTATAAGTGGACTTTTTGTTTTGGAACGTTTTCTATTACGAGCATCAACCAGTGTTCTTACCTTAAATAATAATTTGAAAAATAAATACAGAAAATGGCAATGTCAAAATGAGTATCCATTCAATTGTACTGGTATACTTGTTGTCCAAGCTCAATATGACTATGTAAGTTTTTATTACCAAATTGTGAAGTTTTTTAGTAATTATATGTCAATCACTTAATTTAATGTAGATATGCATTACTTCTATCTATACTTCTGCTACTACTAGTTATGCAAATCAGCATAAAAATGAAGATGAAGTGGATAAGTAATAAAAAAACACTTAAATTAGATATTATATTGTATAGAAAATTTGTGAATCGTTTAAAAAACAGTATTTGATCTTTTAGTTACAAAAATGAATAAAGATACAAATAGATATGTAACATTCATCAATGTAGCAATTTGTATTTAGGCTTTAAAGATTTCAAAAGATGGGATCTTTTAACAAAGCAAATTAAAATTAAGTTAAAGTTTACTTTAGCAGTGTAATGACTTCAAACAGTTCAAATAAAAAAATAACTCCAACAATAAAGGGTTTAAATATTAAAAGTTTTGGCTTTGTTTCATGAAATTTAGGAGAAGTTTGGGTGTTTGTTTAAAAATTTTTCAACATTATTAAAGTATGTCTTTTATTAAGTATATTTAGGCATGCAGCTTTTTAATGGTTGTATTATAATTTAGTTAAATCTTATGTATTCACATATGGATCTACATATATTCACCTCCTTATTTTCCCTCTATATTGAATTTTTACACTTTAAGAGTTCTTGAGTATTTGCAAGATTTTTTTCTGTGTTCGTAAGCATGCAGCGCTCAATTTAATTAATGATATGTAAACAAATATATGCATTTTTTTTTATCTTTTTGACACTATTAGATTCAACATATTTATTAATATGCTCTCACTTAAAAAGTTTTAAAAACTTATCAAACAATAATAAAAAATATATATCAAATTTAGAACATTTATTATTATTACTTAAAAAGATTTTTATGATCCTAATTATCCTAATTATTCTAATTCAAACAATATTAGCATTGCATATTTACACAATTTGTAAGGTTATATTTATTTGACAAAAATGTTTAATCGACTATAAAGTTCACTTAATAATCATGGATTGAAATTATTTTTTGTTTCTATTGAAATGTAGAATCTGTTTTCCAATAAAACCTTTGGCGAAGATTGGCGACCTGTTTCTAATGTCTATGAATTGGCTCTTTTTAACCCTGTTACATTTGAGAAACTTAACACTGATGATGACGTTGAAAATTTTTATGAGGTTTCGCTTACTTTGAAATACTTACAACTGAGTAATACAAGCAATGTTCAGGTAAGTAACACAATTTTATTTGTGATAAATACAGTCGTAGCCAAAAGTTTGAAATCACTCATAAATTTTAATAAATATTACTGACCTAACATAATTAAAAGTACATCAAGTTGTTAATTTATTGAACACTAGGGATAACTAACCATTACTTAACCATTATTTTTAACAACTAAGCTGTCTATATCTTTCTATTCAAAAAAGTTAAGAGGTCAATAGACATCGCATATGCTATTTCTAGGCGGTAATACATGACTTATTCACGCCAATCACAAGCCATAACTGAAACTAAATAACTTTGTAATTATTTGGCTGTTGACTGTTTTCTGTGTCAGTTAAAAATTCATTTGGACCGAGTTATGTCTGATGGTAATGAATTATATTTTTTTATTAATTTCATTAAATTAGAACTCTCTTGTTTTATCTTTTTTTCTCATTTTATTAATAATTAGTAAGATGATAAAATATATGAAAATAATAAACAAAATATATGAAAAAAATAAATTTCATTTTTTTTTATATCAAATCAGTGTGTGAAATGGTGCATTCTAAAGAATTACCAACTGCACAACAGGCTCAGATTCATGTTTTGAGCCAGCAGAACATGTCCCAACAAAAAATTGCACAGATTCTTAACATGTGTTAGTCATCAGTGTCTAAGACTCTGACCAGGACAGCTGAATTTGGAAGTTACATATCTTGGGAACACTTTGGTAGACCTTGAGTGAAGTCAGCAGCAACTGGTAGGCTTATCAGAAGAACTGCGGTTGCTCATCCAAACATGTCTTTGGTCAATATTGTTGCCCGTATACCTGCTGGAGTGAGCACCCTAACTGTCAAAAGGCATCTTCTAGTTGAATTTAAGCTCACATAAGCCAGCCAAAAAAGCAAAGTTATCAAAGAAGAATGTCAAAGATGGCTTGACATTTTGTAAGCTGTACAGGACCTGGATGGAAGATCAATGGATGAAGATCATCTGTTGAAACTTCACTCAGTATACCTGTTACAACAAGGTAGTTTGGGGACTTATCAACCAAAGGTACAATGCAAAATATTATACCCCAACGGTCAAACAGTCTCCAAAGACAATGGTGGGGGGGGGGCAGCTTTTGTGCATCTGGCACAGGTGGTAAACTGGTTTATGCCAAAAAATATGACCATTATTGGGCAAGTTTACCCGGATGTTTTGAGAAAAAAGCTTCCCTCATATATGGCAAAACAATTCTGCACCCATTTTCAGTATGATGGTGCACCCTGCCACCAGACAGAAGCGCTCAGAAGCTGGTTGGAGGAAGAATGGGGCCCAGCTGTTTAGTCCATGGCCTGGGCAAAGTCCAGACTTAAACCAAAAAACATATGGACAATGACGAAGCAGAAAGTTAGTCAAGAACATCCAACATCAGAGAAAGCATTAATAGGCGCCATTAAGCATGTATGGGCTACCAGTATAACACCTGAGTACTGCAAATCTTTAGCCTATTCCATGCCTAATCGAATAGCAGCCGTTCTGAAGGCTAAGGGACAGTATACTAAGTACTTAATCCTGAGACTGTAATTGTTGTAGTTGTTAATAAATAGTATAAAACGTTTGGTACAGGTTTTTATGTCATTATAAATGAATTTTTTTTTATTACAATATAAGATGGAATTCTTATATAAATAATGAGGTGATTTCAAATTTTTGGCCACAACTGTATCAGAGTGTCTGCCAGATCAGGGAAATCAGGGAAAACAGGGAAAAATCATGGAATTCAGATATCTGCAAAAAAAATTAGGGGATTATCAAGGAAATTAGGTTAAATTTTTGAAAAATTAGGGAGAAATTAGGGAAAATGGCTTCTTCATCAAACTTACATAACTTAAATAAGTTGTATATGGTACACGTAATATAAAAGTTTATTTGGCAGATTTATGAACTTCTCTTGATACATTTAATGTGGGTTGTATTATTGTTTATATTTTTGCAGTTAAAGAGCATTTTTCTAAACGAATCTAGGTTAATTTTTGTGAAGTTGAGTTTGGGTAACTTTAAATTAAATAGGGAAAACAGGTAGAAGATCAGGGAAAAATCAGGGGAATCCACCTTAAAATATTGGCAGACACCCTGTGTGTGTAATTATTTACATATTTTTCACATCAGGGCTTAGTACTTTTATAGTTACCACTAGAAGGATTTACACTACCACTAGAAGCCACTTTCTCCTATTCTTACCCACAATATATATATATATATATATATATATATATATATATATATATATATATATATATATATATATATATATATATATATATTACATATCCAATGCTGGAATAACCTGGGCGCACCTGCAAATAATGGAGTCTCCCAGCAGGTGCTCCTATTTTTTAAATGTACATAATTGAAGTTGTGGGCTTGTTAGAGCTTCAACATCACTATCGCAAGGACATAAAGATGTATAAAATGCCTGCTTTTTAATACATAAAATATTATGATTGCACAGCATAAGAAGGTGCATATGATAACTTAAAAAATGGGTTCCATGACTGGTTCCAAAACATAAAGTGTTTAGCACCTTTCTACTAAAATTTTATTGATTCCTTTTAACTTTACAAATTTTACATGCAAATTACATTTGAATCCTTGAGACCCTAGAATCAATTGTTCTGAATAAAGATAAAAAATATCAGAAAAAAAAGCAACTAGCTATTACACAAAGAAAATGAAAACTTTGATGACGAAGTGTAACATCAAACTTTGATGACGAAGTGTAACATCAAACTTTGATGACAAAGTGTAACATCAAACTTTGATGACAAAGTGTAACATCAAACTTTAGAATAAAGATTTAACTCTTGATGATCTCTTGATGTGCATCAATCTGCTGTGAAATATCGTATCAGTTCGTTAAGATTTTCTGACATTCATGAATGTGCTGGAAGGTTCTCAAGCATTATTCCTAAGCAATACAAGCATGAAAATACAAGAAAGAAGTAGGAGTTGTTGAAAATAGAGAAGATGGAGTGATTCTAAGTTGCAGTGGCACATTTAAAGTTAAACACTTTTTCCCTAACATTGACAAGTTGAAAATGTGATTGAAAGAAATGCTTTTTGCTTATGGGTCAGGAAAGAGAAAGTTTGGTTTTCTGACTATGCTTTCAAATCTTTGAGTACTATTTATCCTTCAGACTTAGATAAACAATTCAATGACAAAATTGTCCAATTTTTCAAATTTATACATGACAATGACAATCTATAAGAATATATTAGCACTAGGATGTTCACAAACAATTTGTAAGAATGAGTTAGAATCAGTTTTTCTCAATGTTGAGATTGCATATTGAATTGCATTTTCAAAAATGATAAAAGTTAAGAATGGTCTTTGCTCCTCAATGTTAAATGAATGTTTAAATGCACTTTGTTTAATGATAATTGAAAAAACTCTGTAACAAAATATACATTTTCAAGGTGTCGTTGTTAACTTAACCAATATAAAAGCAAGAAAATTTTTCTGTAAATAAAAAAGTAATTTCATGGTTTGCTGGATACTTTTTTAACTATATTTTTTTAGGAATGAGATAAAAAGCTTACATTATTAATACTAAAAGAGTAATATACATTACTTCATTAAATTTTAAATGTATAGTTTATGTAGTAGTTTTTATGTATCTGGTTTTTGTTAGTTGGGAAGAACTTATTTGTCTATTTTAATAAAATGTTATTAAAGTTTATAAATAATTAAAAAAATGATTCAAATTAAAAGTCTACCACTTGTACATAATCTTGCATAACAAATTAAGTTTATTTGAATAATAACAATGGAAATTTAATTTTGAGAAATAAGGATCTTAAAATAAGGATCTTAAAAATTTTTTAAAATTTGAAAATTTAAAATATTTGTTCTTTATTAAGGTTAAGCGAGCATTTTTCTCTCTTTTTCTAAGAAAATTGACAACCTCACTACTGTAACTGCCAATAATAACTTAGAATAAAAATACAGAAAAATATAGGTTATCTTTAGCTTTTAGTTGTTTGTAGTTTGTTTACTTTAGAGTAACTTTGAAGTTATTTATAAGTGTTTAACATCTTATACATTAACTTTTTATTATTTTAGGATTCTAAATTTAAAAGGAAACCTGACTGTGATAAGAAAATTTCTGCTGTGTAGTGTTTATTTGTTTATGTTACAATCTGAGTTAGATTTGTAAGATTGCAAAGTATTCTCAAAACTAAAATATTTACAAATATTTTGAGTTTAACCTTGTTTTCACGTATGTAGTCAGTTAATTTAGATAAAAGTTTAATTTTAAAAGTTAATGAAACATAAGTTATCTTTATATGTACATATGTACACATGTTTTTGTATTTTATAAAGTGTATATAAATATTTTTCAGCAAAGTTTATGTACTTGTATTCAAATCTTTTTTTCTTTCTTGTACCTAGTGCCAAGTGTGGAATGTTGCTCAGAGCATGTTTGATCCTACTCTATGTTATTACTTTGCATATATGCAAGAAGAACATGTTTTGTGCAGGTGTAAACGCTTAGGAAAAATAGTTGCTTTATACCAAGAAGGGGCTTTTCCAACAACAGAATCAGCCATAATTGGTAAAATAATTTTTTTTATTTTTTACAATTTGAACTGAGGAGATTATTCTTCTACTTGTTTCTATTTTAATTTTTTTCTTAGATCCTAACCTGTCCTACACATTTTATTTTCACATGGACTTTGATCCCTATTGTTCAACAATAACACGAATGAAGTCTGTGACAAATAAATTTTCATATCAACTTCAACAATATATTATTGCAAGAGGTTTATTAGTATGGCCAAAGTTGAAATTGGAGCTAAGAAGAAGTCGATTGGTTGTTGTTAATTGTTTAAATGGTATAACGAATTTGATTTCATGTTTAGTTTTAACATTTTTAATTTATAAGAAATTGAAAATGAATAAAAAATCATTGATTGCTCATGAAAAAAAGATTATTAATCATTCATGAACAAAAAATCATTCATTATTTAATTTTTTTTTTCCCTCAAAGTGTGAGTTTTAAGGTTGATCCATAAAAAAGGTCTTTTTTGATAGTAGGAGATAACTCCCTATGTCTGATCATTAGATGCTGAATTTTGTTGGTTGTATCAAAATCTTTTTCAACAAAATAAAGTAAAGTAAGCTTGGTAAAGAGTAACAGGGAAATAATGAGGGAAAAAAATGATGAAAAATAATAAAATACTTTTTAAGAGAAAAATAAATAGTTAAGTTGTATTTGCACAAATTTTAACATAGATTAGTTCAAAGTAAAAAAAATTGTTGATTTGATATTAATTAAAATACACATTTTTTCAAATTATCTTTTACATCTAGTTTCTTGTAAGAATCTTAAAAAGAAACCATTTCGAATTAAGCACATGCTAAAGTTGCATATTCTCTAATTGTTTTTATCATTTTTTTTTTTGTTCTTGATTTAATTATGTTAGAAAAAAAAAAAAAGTTTTATCTACCAAAATTCTTTTCTTTTTTTTTCTTTAGTTTTTTCAAGTCTTTTAATTTGCAGTTTTTAATAATTCAAGTCAAAAGTTACTTACAAATATGTGATTAGAAAATGAATCCACATGGAAATGAATCATTTAAAAATATGATTTTTTTTCTTTAAAAAAATGAGTTCTCGACTTCTATAAAGAATAAATATTTATTATTATTATATTTTATTATTACGTTTTGTAAATTCAATTATCGCAATTTTATTAAAAAAAAAGTTAAAAACCTTTTTTTTTTTTTACCACTTTATAAATGTGTAACATTTTCACAGCAAAAAAAATTTAAACCAAAATGTATTTTTTTAACATAGGCAGAATATTTTTCATATCCAGATTCTGGCTGAGAGTGGTAAATATTAACACTAAGATCTCTCCCTTATTTCAAAATGCTTGTATTGGATAATATAAATTTACTTGTAAATACTTCCAATATAATTATTACACTTTGCTACAAATATATCATGTATAATACAAAATATTAGAGTATATAATTAGGAAAAACAGATAATAATTTATAAGGTTTTTTCAGTTGTTTTTTTTATTATTATTATTATTATTATTATTATTAGGAGGATTTGGTATTTCAATAATAAACATGACATTTAAAGATAGATATGGGGAACTGCGAAGTTGGTTTATTAAACAAGAAATTGAAAACTTAGTTGTAAATCAAACGTTTAAAATACAAATGAAGCAAGGTTTGTAGATTGTAGATTCAAGCTTTTACTAAGTGTTTAAAAAAAATGTAATAATAAATTTTACTATATATATATTTTATTTATTATAATTTAATTTTTAAATAGATAATATTAAAAAAAAGTTACAAAAAGCAGCTTTTATAAATTATAAAATGAGGTAAAAGATCATTAAAAAAAACAGTTTGAATGAGTTTTACCTTTTTCTTTCACCTGTCTGAATTTTCTTTTTTCATTGTGTTTTTCTAATTCATATAATTTACAGTTTTTCAAAATTCAATTTCAAAACCTGCTTAAAATTATGCAATCAGAAAAATATAATATAAAAAATAGTTATATTGCTGATTTCAAATTTACTTCTTAGATTATTTGTTGTGATTCTGATTCTTTACCGATTCCAATTCTTTTGCAGTTGGAATTAGTAATAGTGCAGTAGTGGTGTATTGGTAGAGACTTCTGATAAAGTTCTGAGTTTGATCCTCATCATGTCTCTGATAGTACCACACTTAACTTGTTTCTCCGCGCAGCAGCTTTGTTCATCAAGGTTCGTGTTTCAGAGTTAAAGAGTTGAGAAAGAGAATAATCTCAATTGTAGCGGCCTTCTCAATTGTAGTGACCTTCTCAATTTCAGTGGCCTTCTTGACCTTAAGGAGGTGAATAACAAAAAAAAAGATAAAATCACTTTAATTATACTGGTCTAATCCATTTAAAATAATAAATGCAGTTTCAGTTTAACATTTATACAGACTTTAATAATTAAGATAATAATAAATAATAGTTATAAGAAGTAGAATTTAGGAATTGGGTTCGTTTAATTTCATTGAAGTTATTTTTTTTTTTGCTAGAGATTATAATGCCAACAATCGATTAAAATCAACATTACATTTTAAAATAAATTATTTCTCTTTATGAAGAAAAATGTTTAAAAATCTGAAAATAACATTTCTGAATTGCTTTGAAAAAAACTCCAGGAAGAAGTTCAGTTGAACTCCAGGAAGGAGTTCAATCAGGAGAAAACTGTTTCAAACTACATTTGTAATTACGATTGAAATGAATGAATTTTAAATGTTCTTAATTTATATGCAAAATGCTTTTAAATTAACTATTTAGGAATTATAAAAATTACAACTAACGAATTCTTGAAGTAAACATGTTTCACTTAAAATAACATTTTATTTGTAAGCATTAAAGTTTCAAATAATGAAAAAAAAAATGGAGTGCATACTTTGTTGAATTAAATTACGCAAAATTGTTTTATAAAAGACATAATTTTTTTACAGTTGTTTTGCTCACCAATCAGTCCTAGCCAATCAGGTATTTATCCGCCAATCAGGCTAGGACTGAAGTTATTTTGACAAAAATGTGCATCAGATTTTTCCCTAGAAGAGACAGCGATCTACAAAAAAAACAATGAACTATACACAATATAATTAACGGTACTGTCATAAATGCGACATAGTTCATTAAATTGGAACCTGAGAAGCTGGAAGCTGAGACAGTATTACATTGAGAATTAAATAGTAAATGCCATATTTTACTTAGAGTGCTCCTCCAAGAAATGCAGATATGGTTTGTCTCTAAGTGTAACAGTTTCCAAGTGACAGACATAAAAACTGACTCACAACTTGTATAAAATGTGACTTTTGATAATTGGATTAAGTTTGCTAAATGTATTTAGAATGTTATTAACTTGACCAATGAATTGAGTGTGTCAAGCATTGTAATCAAGAATTCATACAAGTACAATCATTGGTACAAATACAGTTGTAATAATTCTCAGATTAGTTAATTATATTACCAAAATGACGCTAGTTCTGAGTGTATTTAATTAAATTGCAAGAAATTAAATTTAAAAAAGCCGGTAACCCTGATTATTGCAAAAATATATATATATATATATATATATATATATATATATATATATATATATATATATTTATATATATATATATATATATATATATATATATATATATATATATATATATATATATATATATATATATATATATATACGGGGAACATTCGACCACTTAGCTGGTTTTTATTAATTTACAGCTGATTTTTTGCCAGAAACAATTAAATTTTTTTAGCATTACATGTAATGGTCTTAAATAAACATATTAAAAAGATAATGTTTATAAAATATTTATTTTTGTTAAATCTACTATTCTTTTAAATGTAAGCCTCAAAATAGTCGAATGTACCCCATTTTGATAATTTTTTGATAATTGATAATTTGATAATTTTTTCCAAATGAAGTTTCTCAATCTTTTTCTTTTTCAGGAGTGTCAGCACTTTGTCAGCATATATCGTTGACTTAGTTTTCTCTTTATTTATTTTGTCTTTGAGAAGTGGCCGCGCATGTTCTAAAATCAGTTTTTAATTGCTAGAGTTATTCTAGTAGTTGCAGGAGGAGGTTTCATTGGTAGATAAGAGTGGTAAATTTTTTTGTAATGGTGTACCTATTACCCCTAGACTTTCACTTGGTTCTCCCATTAGAATTCTATTTGTAAAATATCTGGGCGTGAAATCTTTTTGCGGCTTGTGGTCCAGACAGTGAATTATTGGAAAGATTGATAATTTTTTCTTTTACCACATTTTCATTCTTTTATTTCTATCTGTTTTTGATACATATTTTCGAGGCATCTAAAAGATTAGAGAAATAAATTTTCGTGGTATTTTCAAGCACCGGTCGAATTTTCCCCAGCTAGGTAGGTCGAATGCACCCCACGCGCAGAGCCGACAACACCGGGGGCCAGGGGTACGTGCCCCCCTCATACACACATTTTTTCTAAAGGACCATTTTTTTTTTTTATTTAAACAAATTTTTTTTAAAAAAAAATCTTGATATGAGGACTTTTGTCACAATTTAATGATTTTGCCCTCCTCCTTCTCCTCCTCTACCCCCCCCCCCCACTTCAAAACCCTTGTCGTCGGCCCTGACACGTGTTATATATAAACAAACGCTGTTATAAGCCGAAATCAATTTTTTGAAGTAAACCAAACACAAAGGTTTTTAACTAAAAAATATCATTAAAGAATAAACAACAAAAAAGTTTAGAAGGTTAAAGTTGGAAAAGAGATTCGTTGTGGGTTATTTAAAACATAAAAAATTTACCTTTTATAGCAGATCGATACTTTTTTTTTTTTTTTTAATTGAATTCACCTTCTCAAGGCCGAGAAGGCCACTACAGGCGAGGAGGCTATTTCCCGTGATAGCTTATTAACAGACAAAATATGCAAAAAAGTATTAAGTGGTAATTTTCATCATGCTGGGAATTATTTGAAAAGGTTGAATGTTCCCCGTCTTCCCCTATGTGTGTATATATATATATATATATATATATATATATATATATATATATTCCAGTTCTGGTGGCACAGCATATATTCCTATATAACTTTTTTTTAATTTGTTTAAAACATTAAATTTACTAATTTAAAATGTTTCAACTATAACATATTACCCATATGTAACCTTTTTTGATTGTTTTTTTTTTTCTTCATAAAACGCAGTTTTTTTCAAAACCTGCCTACAATAAATTTAAACAATCAATAATAATTGCTTCCAGGCTATTTCTTTGCTTCCAGACCATTTTTTATGACTATGAATTTTACCTTTTATCTTTTAATCAGTTGATCCATTCGGAACTCCGTCTTGTCGGATTTTTTTCAGTTTTTCAAAGTTTCGGAGTTTGAGAGAAATCAAGAAACTTCGACGAAGTTTTTAGAAAATATCAATTTTTTCTCATTAAATAATTAAATTCTTATTTTATTTCTACGCGGTTTTTACAATTGTAAATTGTAATTTTAAAAATTGTTTTAAATGTAAGTGTTCTCTTTGTTCAACAACAAAACTAATATACATCGCAAAGCAATTAGTAATGCACAGTGGGCTAGGTGATAATGGTGGAAAAAACCTCAAAAAAAGTTTATTCTATTCAAAACCATATAATAAAACATTCTCATACTTTTCCATTGTACTATTTCAAAAACTCTTTTGTGTATAACTATCTTGTATATAATTTATGTGTATAAATTCACAAAAATTAATTGCAGTATAATTAAATGTAATGATAGATAAATAAATAAAAAGCAAGAATTTTTTAATTTTTGAGCAAAGATATATAGTAAATAGTAACTTTTAAAATATTATGTGAATATGATATTAGTTTATATATTTCAACTATTCAATAGTTTACCTTACAAAAAAAAATATTTAGTAAAGATCATTATATATAATATAAACAAAAACTGGTCGTAAAATAACAAGGTAAGTTTTAAACATAATACTTTTATTTTATACAAGTAGTGTCGTATATCGTATGATCAAAATAATTTTGTCCACCATAAGTCTAACATCCGGTTCACTGTGTATTGTGGCAAAATTGTGTAATAATATATTATTTGTGATAAGTAATAATAATTAATGTTTAATTATACTTACCTATTAGATTAAATAACTTTATTAATAACTTAAAATGTGATAACTTATCACAATTAAAATATAATTAAAAACAAATATGTGAGGTCATAATCAAATTGATAATTTTTTTTTCATAGAAAAAAATGGTTTTGGAAGAATTACTTTGATAAAGTTGTGGTAAATGGTAAGAAACACGGAGATTGCAAAAAATGTCATAAAAGAATTGCTTGTCCAGGAAGCAGCACAAACGGCCTAATTGGACCCGTCAAAATTTGAGAGAAAATAGTTTTAAAACCATTCAGTTTCAGACCAGTTTTGACTAAGATGTCGTTAAACTATCTTCTTGCCAAGTTGAGAGCTGCATTGAAAGCAAAAGGGGAAAAATTTGGACTAAAAGGTGATGAATGGTGTAGTAATAGAGGTAGAAGATATTACAATTTAATTGTTCATCACAACAGAACGTATTGTTTAGGAATGGTGAGATTGTCATCTAACATTTGATAATGGATAAATTAAAAGAATTTGGTATAGATAATAAAGATATCGCAGGTAAAACTACGGATGGCTGTATGTGGATGGTGAAATTGGGTACCATATTTAAGTTTTCACATCTACCAGAATCATTCAATTCATTTGAGCGTTTGTGATTTGATATACGCTAAAACAGATTGTCGCGAAATTGTGAACAAAGAAACTGAATCGGATATTGAAACAAACGGAAACTGATGGAGAGACTGAAGGAGATTTTCTTATTGAATATTCGGAGAATAAGGTTGAATATGAAGAAAATATCGAAAAAAGTCTACAGAAACTTTGTATGCTAATTAAGTTTTTGAAATATTCATCATTTCGATATGAACTTATTACAAGAAAAATACACAAAATATACGGATCTTCGCATGACAAATGACTGTTGCTCGACAACCAAACTAGATGGAACAGTGTTTTTCAGATGATTAAAAGATTTTTGAATTGCTTAGAATCTGTAAAAAAAACACTCGAAGAGCTAAACTGCTTAAACATATTAGATGACTTGGATTTCTTAAAATCGCTGTCTGACTTATTGGAAGTCATTGCTGACGCTGCAGTTCAGTTGGAAAAACCAAATACAACAATTTTGGAGTGTGACGTTGTTATAGAAACTTTTGTAAAGAAATTGAAGGTTGTAGAAACTGACATCAGTTCTAATTTTGCAGAGGCGTTAATCTCCAGATACGAAGATCATAAAAACATTATGTTGGTATCATTGAGTCGCTATTTGCACAATTCCAAAAAATAAAAACCAAATTGTTTTACATTCCAAAAAAGAAATTCAAGTTTATGCTGCAAAATTATTTGATCAACTATTTGCAACAAAATAAAATAGTCTCCAATCAAAATCAGATGATCACGCTAAAAGCAAATAAGAAGAACCATCACAATCGACATCTTTTTTTGCCGAAATTCAAAAGTTCTAAATCAAAATCAATCAGCAGCTAAAAAGCCAAAAAAAGTCAAGACCTTCACCGATCAGTTGAAAGAATATAAAATAACTGGTGTGAAATCGGAAACAGTTTTGAATTTTGAAATAGCCATCCACAGAGTTCAAGCAACTTCCTCGGAAGCAGAAAGAGTTCTCGTCTTTCAGATTAGTAACAAAGTTTTGTAGTTCGCTTTCTGATGAAATGATAGATGTTTTGATCTTTTAAAATTTTATTTAAAAAAATCTCTAAAATAAATACTTTTTTTTTTAATTTTTACTATAGGTGCCCCAAGAAGTTTTTCTTACATAAGCAATGCGGAAGAGCATTTAACTGAAAGTTCACGCCTTCTTCCTAACCGATGCCGGTTATAAAGCCAATTATTAGATAAAACTTGTTCGTTAAAATATTGTGATAAAAAAAATATTTAAGTACTAAAAAATAAATTTTTTAAAAGTTTATTATGAATTATAAATCGAAATAAAGAAAATAAATCGAAATAATTAAAAATATATACAAGAACAATGTTTAATTATCAAATAGATAGTTTTTTTTTTTTATTTATAACAAAATATTATCGAAACTCCGATTTTTTTCTCGACTCTGACGGAGTTTTTTCTCGATTTCTCTTGACTCCGTTTTTTCTCTATTTTGGATCCTTTGCTTTTAATATATCCTAATTGTTATTTATTTACATTACAACAATAATTTTTCTGAAGGAAAAGAAAGTGAAAAATTAAAGTGTAATTCTGAGCGGCCCAACCATTGTGGTGTTGGGTAAGAGGAGTTAAAGAGGAGAGGAATGGTAAAGAGTGCGCAACAGTAATATAAATTTTCAGTATTGTTTTAACGCTGTATAAAATTTTAGGATAAATCTTTTAGGATTAAATTAAATAGGATTAAATTAAATCTTAGGATAAATCTTTTAAGTTTATGATTAATTTTATAAACAACGATTATAAACCAAAGCATGGTGCAATAGTGTTTTCAGAAAACTTTTTTAAAGAATTGTGTTAATAAAAAAGAAAGAAGATAAAATCTTTTTGTTGTTATGTGCGCCAGAATAGTCTTAAAACTAAAAAATAAATTTCAAGTTAAATAGTTATTTTAAGGGCACTTGTTAGACTCAAGAAAAATTATTAATTATTGGATAGGTTTTTAAACATTTATTTATTAATATTAGTCACAGGACGCTGTATTTTCTAGTAAAGATTTTTTTTAATTTAGGAAACAAAAATAGTTTTAAAAAATGGTTTAAAGGCTTAAATAAATAAATAATAAGAAAATGTTTTTATTTCAATTCAATGAAATAGTTTGAACTTAATGGAAAAAATGGAAAAAATATTACTTTAAAACTCAAAAATATCCATTAATTTCATTAATTTAAGTTTGCTATTTCTTGAAAGAAAGAAAAAATCATTTTTAAAATGTAATTTTTCTTATAAAATTATCGATCCAAATTATCATCAGCATTATTATGATTAACATCTGGAGGGTTTAGTAAATCTAGTGCTTCATTTGGAAATTTGTGTTTTATGTTAATGATACTCGTTTACTGAAGATAACAGGGTTAAGATTGTTTACTGGAGATAACAGGGTCAGAACTCATAGAAAGAAGTTAAAAACATTAGCATTAGTTTTCTCTTGTCTTGATTTTCTAAAATAGGTCTCTCAATACTTTTTAAAGACTTCTTTGCAAGCTTACCGTGCTACATCAGTAAATATATTTATAACAATCTTATTGGAAACAGTACATATGGTGTAAGGATTAATGTGGATTCAACCAAATAATGTTTTTCCAAAAAAATAAGACAAAGAGGAATGATACATATTAGAAAAATAAAAAAATTAAGGCTTTAGAATTAACTAATGAACTAGAATAGCTCATGAACTACGAAGAGCCTTCAAAACCACATTTTGAAATTATTTTCAGGTTTTTCAAATTTATATTCTATAGATTTGAAATGAAGATTCATTTTTGTCAAATGCATAGTTTTGAAGCCATTTTGCCCGAGTGAGTGATGAAAAAAAATTGTTTTTTTTTAATAATTGTTTTGTTTTTCATTTTACAAATAAAATTTTGTAATTTTTAGAAAAATTTAATTCGCGGAGGGTGCGGTAAAACTGCTCCATTTTATAATTTATTTTTAAAAAACCATTTGTCCCGAGTTGTCTTATTAATTATATACAAAATGGTAAAAATATTTTATTAATCTACATGGATCATATATATTGTCGAATGATTTTTTTTAAGGTGGTGATATTGCATTATTTGATGTAAACCAGACAACTGCCAAACCAACTATTACAATACCTCCTATTGAAGAAATTAAAACGAATTGGATACCATTCATTGCAGTGGTTCTTATGTTTTTTTTTATTTTCTTAGGTTAAATATATTTTTGTTTTCTTTAACATACGTGTTCATTTCTCTAACATACGTGTTCATTATTATCATATATTGTAAAAAACGTGTTCATTAACATCATCATGTCGAAGATCATTTTATTTTTGCTTATTTTTTAGAGTCATACCACATATATTCATCTGCTTTTTTTTTTAAGACAAATGGTTCTAATTGTGCTTAAAAAGCCATATCTTCACTTTATCTCTACCAAATTTATCAAAGTCATAACTGTTTGATAAAAACAGTGTTTATTTATTTTAGTATTAGCATTTTGGAAATATTTTCATCAAACAAGGCTTTTTGCGCAGATGGTTTATAAAGATGTCAACAACTATAAACCTAAAAGACTTTCTGAAGTTGAAAAAGAGAAGCAAGCTAACAAAAAGCTAAAGATTGAGCGGATCAATATCATGCATATGGGTGAGTTCAGGGCCGTTCGGGACGGCCCTGGGAGAGTTAATGTCTATGTTAATGTTGTTTCTTTATTAAACCTCATTAAACTTTATTTAGCTAAATTCAGTAACTAAACTTTATAAACTTTTCAGTTTTTTTTATATATGAAGCTTTTTTTTAATTTTAGAAGGTTTTGTTGCAGAGGAAAAGTCAAGATCGAATAATAAAATCCGACCAGTTAATGAGGCTACCGTTATGGGTGGTTCATTTTTTTTCAGGGATTCGCCTATATTGGATTCGGAACCTCGTTCTTCGCTTGACGAGTCCGACAACGAAAATATCTTTACCTCAAAAATAATGCTAATCAAGGCTGCTAGCATAAATGCTCTAAATGATTTTAACGTGAATAATTCGGAAAGTGAATGTGTAGAAAAGTAATTGATGAAGAAAATTCAGTATTTTTTGCTATGCCATCTTTGTTACAGTGATAGTTGTACAAAACAACAATAAAAAATATTTGTTTGTGATGTTTTAAAAATATAACGAAGTCAAAAGTGGCTGAATAATATGCTGCAACAATTATATAATTACGTTATTACGTTTTAAATGTTTGGCGGTTATTATAATAGTATTAGTATATTTATTTATTTGGTCTTGCACTTGGCACTTCTAACGGTTCCGACAGTAAAAATATCTTTACTTGTAATACAGCTTGAATCAAGGTTGCCGCAGTAAATATTAATTTTTACATTGATAATTCAATAAATTATTAACTGTATTACTATTTATATTAGTTTTTATTAACTATTTAGTTGTTTTTTTTATTAACTGTATTAGTATTATTATTAACTATATAAGTATTTATCAACTAGAAAACTGATTAACTGTATATAACAAAACGATAATTAAAAAACGCAGTATTTTTTACTACGGCAAAGAATTTTGACCGACAAGTACAAAAAATGTTTATGTATGCTGTTTTTGAAATTTAATAACAAAGTTAACAGATTGAATTTGATGTGTGGTGTACAAGTGTATGTAATTATGCAAATATATGTTTTTAGGTTATAGTTACATTATTTATGGCTACTTTTATGTATTGCTTCATATGTTGCTTTATACAAAGTATATAACGTACATTACTCTATATAATTAGTAATTAGAAATTATCAGAAGTAAATATTAAAATGTTTTACTTTTATTTATATATATATATATATATATATATATATATATATATATATATATATATATATCATAGCCTACTTGAATTACACGGCCCGATTTGTTGCATTTTCCGTAAAAAATTAGGAGGCCAGTTTTTTTTACGGCTCAAGTATTAAAACTTCATTTTTGTTATGGTTAAGAGTCTTGTTTGCACTATAATTGTTTTATTTTTATTTTATTAAAATGGTTTAATAATAGTTAGATTTCCTTTGAGTACTTACATTATTTTGTGCTGGATTTTCTGTTAACTGATTCCCTGCTTCAGTTTATTCCAACAACACAGAATACTGAAATAGGCTTTCAGATAACTAGACCTTTTAAATATGTAATTGAGAAAACAAAAATTGTAATTAAGAATCGTAAGATGTAATTGAGAAAACAAAAGTTGTAATTAAGAAACGTAAGATGTAATTGAGAAAACGTAAGTTGTAATTAAGAAATATAAGATGTAATTTAGAAAACGAAAATTGTAATTAAGAATCGTAACATGTAATTGAGAAAATGTAAGTTGTAATTAAGAAATAGAAAGATGTAATTGAGAACACGAAAATTTTAATTTAGATATCGCTTTAAAGGAGTAAGTGTAAAATGGCGCTTAAAAAAAATGGAGCGTATAAAATGACGCACTTAAAAATGACGCAAGATTTGTAGCGTAAATTTAATTTTTTAGGGAAAAATTTAGAGAAAAATTTATAATTTTTGGGCAAATGAATTTAACATAATAAACACTAAAAACATTTTAGGGAAAAATTTATAATTCAATTAAAAATTATAATTAAAAATTATATAATTAAAAATCACTTCATTGATCATTTAAGCACCAACTTGTACGTCTTCCATATTTAAAATAGTTGCATAGTGCGTTGTTGTGTGTTGTACCGCACGTGCACAATCTCCTCCCATTATAGTATTTTTCGCCTCAATTACAATTCGTTCTAAGTACTGCATGCGCTGTTCCGCAATCCCGTCACCTAATACAGGTGTAATGCGAATTGCATTTTTAACGTTACTTTTAATTTTGGACCAGAAGTTTCCACCGGGTTCAACATTGGACTGTAAGGTCCCAAACGTAACAACTGAGCTGGTGAATTATCAAACACCCTTTGCAAACAAGCGTGACAAGAAGCATTATCTGTTACGACGACCAAATCCTCCAAACGATTCCCGGATGTAACCCACTGGTGAAACATAGCCAACATCCACTCGTTACAGGAATCTGCTTTAAATGATC